TGCTCTTTTGATAAAAAATCATGGAGCGGTCACTAAACCCAGGCCTTTTACTAAATGTACCGTGACTGCTTCGTGGTTTTTTATTAGAAAATGCTGTGACAAATCTGCAGCTCTACTCAGGATTGTGAATGGATTTTCTCCTTATTCAGTGAGAAAGAGAGGTATTATTCCCATTTGAAAGAGGGGAACTGAAACACAGGGTAGATCAAGTGAATTGTCCAAAGTCACACAGCAGGGAACTGAATCCTGGCTTCCTGAGTCCTGGTTCCATGTCCACTTCACTAGGTCATCCTTCCTAGCTCAGAGCTCCACCTGGTTAAAGCAAGCTAGCCCGTGACCTTTGCAGCTGTGTAACATACAGAGAGTGGTGTCAGAGAGAGAGAGAGACTGAATGTGCCAAGTGTATTGTGGACTAGCCAGAGAAAGCTGTTGGAATTCTGCAGGATCCTGATCTAATGCTTCGTTACAACGCAGAACTTGATCTGGTATGAGATGGCAAGAAGTTCTGGGCTTTGTTCAGGAAGGAATGCTTTGACCACTATTAGCCCCAAGGGAAAACTTGATTCCTAGCCAGCTGGACATGGCTTGATAGTCTTAGAACATTACTTAGGACAAAGGAAAATTATTGGCTGCAGATTTTATTACAACCTGTTCACTCACACCCTGGAGAGCAAACAGCAAAAGATGCATCTGCAGATTGGAGTTCATGAGAGATGGAAGTGCCCAGCACCTTATTAGGATTTGACCCTGACAGAGAAAAGATGGGGAGGGCATCCCACTGTACAGTCCCTGCATGCTAGCTACAATTATATCTTGGTACTTTTTGCTCAACAGGACAGTATTTGCTTTCAGTTGTACAGACAGCTGCATTGTACATGCATATTGATTTGACATTTATTAAAGCGCCCTGAGTGTGATCCGTTTCGCAAGGAAACATTATCTCTTTAAAAAATATGAATTCCCATTAGGTTTTGGAAATCCACGAGGACATTGGAGGCTTGTCTAGCATTTACATTGGTCTGGTAGAATCAGTAGATTCAGGCCTTGTGTCTGGAGAAGGATGGATCCACCTGGAAGACAGAGAAGTAGCACAGTGAACAGATGTTTGCTGCAGCTTTGGCAAAAATTTGGGATGGGAATGGACTGACTCAGTTAGGAGGAAGATCAATGATGCTGGAGTGGGAGGAAGTTAAGTTTTCTGGGGCACTGGAAGTAGTAGTCTGTCCTTGTAGGAGCAGGCCAGGAGATAGGGCTGAGATGGAGATATTGTTAGATGAAGCAAAACCTATTTAGCCAAGCTGCAAAATGTGAACCTAGATTCAGAACGCTATAAGAATGATTGCGGTGTTTGGATCCCAAGGCAGAGAGTGGGAACAGGCTCAGCCCATTGGAGAGAGGGATAGCTTGCAAAATGACTCTCTGGTTTTGGCTGGAGCATTATCACCAACACGGGCCTAGGGTTTTTGCATCTAGGGCTCATCTACATTGGCCCCTTTTCCGGAAGGGGCATGTTAATTTCACGAGTCGTAATAGGGAAATCCGCGGGTGATTTAAATATCCCCCGCGGCATTTAAATAAAAATGTCCGCCGCTTTTTTCCGGCTTTTAGAAAAGCCGGAAAAGAGCGTCTACACTGGCCCCGATCCTCCGGAAAAAGCGCCCTTTTCCGGAGGATCTTATTCCTACTTCAAAGACTTTAATTGGAACCCTTTCCCTCATCATCTGCACTTGCCCCCTGCCATGTCTCTCCTGAACCCCTGTCCCTTGGTGCCTTCCCCTCCCCCGCTGCCTCTCCTCGCCTCCACACAATCCAGTTCCCTGCCGCTGTGAACCTGTCTCCAGTAACAGTTGTAGGACTCCTTCCCTCGCCCCCTCCCCCCCACCCTCAAACTGATTTTGCTGGGGCTGGAAGGTTAGTAGTTTATGAAAACATTCTGTGTTGGCACTGGAGAGTTCAGCATGTGGTATTGTCTAATATCTAAGAAGCTATGATGTATGATACCAAAAAGATATGTATCCTCCATTGGACTTGCATATGCTGCTGGACTGTTTCACTTGGACACCTGTAAACAAAGCAGGCAGTCCTAGCGGAATTTGCATCTCCGTGATGAAGACTCCTGTGGTGGGATAGCACAGAATCCGACAGGTGGCATGCAGTCACGTCCCATACTATGGGAGGCTCCAGCATGCCGTTGTGGTGAGGAGTTAGAGACGTCATGTTCACTGATATTTAAATTTTTCCTGAGCACAGGCAGGCTTCCAGGGCTGAATCCCAAAATCCCTCATTCAGTTTCCCTTGGACAAATCTCCTATTGACTTCAGCATCCCCCAGGATCTGGCTTTTAGACCTGGCAGCAGATGGACTGTTAATAACTGTAGACCAGTTAATTTTACCGCCGTTCCACATGAGAAACCTCAGTGGAGTTAGAAAATGGTAGGTTATTTAGAGGATTCATAGATTCCAAGGCCAGAAGGGACTATTTTGACTATCCTCTTATATAAAGGAAGGTATAGAATTTCCCCAAAATAATTCCTAAAGCTTATCTTTTAAAAGAACATCTAATTGTGAGTAAAAAAATTAGAAATTACAGGCATGCTATTCTAGCATCCCTGTAACTCTCATTCCACGAGAGTTAAGGGACTTGTCAGAATAGCGCCTTATTTCGAAATGACCTCAAAATAAGCTACACAATTTGCATAGAGCAATTTGCATTGTTTATTTCGAGGTAAGGGTGCAGTGTAGATGCCTCATTTGATATCAGAGCAGGGCTTTGTCATATATAGGCAACTATACCTCCTCTGCTAGGAAAAAAAAAGGGGGGGGTCCTGATTTTTCACACTTGCTATTAGTTTATCGGAGGAGGGCGTGACAGTGCAATGGCTCCCAGGAGCCAAGGCAAAGCAGAGCAGGGCAGACCCCAGCCTGCAGGGAGCTAGCCCACATGAGACAGGGTCGGGGCCAGGGCAGCCTCTCTTAGAGCAGGGGAGGGAGGGAGCGGGACGTGTTTCGTCCCAAAAACTACATCTCCCAGCTGCCCCTGCACTGCCGCCCCTGCTCTCCGGGGAGTGCCCTTTGCACTTGCGGATCATCCGAGGCTGCAGCCCCGGCGCCGCGCGCCCCCGGGATCCCCGCCCTCGCGCCGGTAAAACTTCCCCGGGGAGTCCTGCGGGGTGGCTCTGAGCGCCAGGGAGAACTTCCTACAGCGGCCAGGCGTTGTTTGCGGACGCTCCGGCGGGGGCTGGCTGGGAATGTGTTGGGTGGGGTGAGATTTTGGGGGCTGCGT